GCCCCACCTTCTGTTCTGCACACGGTGCCTCATCTAGCAACATCCTCACTGCTCTTCGCAGCAGAAGCTTATATTTCATATTAATCAGATCCTCCACTCTTTTTATACAGCACCTAGAAGTGAGCTAAGTACTTTTCAGAACAAATAGGCTAAGGTTCCTCTCCCAGAGAGCTTACCGTCTGGTTTCACATGCAAGATGATGAGAACAACCCACAACAGAGGGACAAGGGGCTGAGGCATAACATGGTACATTTTAGATTATGTACGGCTTCCCCACCACCACCACCACCACACACACTAATGTGATTCTGCCTCCTGTTGGCAGCTCAGTAGGGATTTATATGACGCAAAGCTGGTGGGCCGGCCCATAAGAACTTATGGGCGTGTCTTATATAATGGGTGGCACATAAAAAAGAGCTGAGGAGGGACCTGGAAACAACCACAGCACGGAGGCTGGCTATAAAAATGCCGCTGAGAGGACTTCCTCTTTTCTGTTAAGCAGTATTTCTTTATTCTATGGAACTTCATGGAAAAGTGAGTCTAATTCCCTGCGCATCTGTAGGCCATCTTTCTTCCTTCCCTGTCCGTGCTTTTGGACCCAGTGTTTGAGATGCTGGCTGTTATCACAGCTTAAATTCTCTGCCTGTAAATGCCATTGAAAAAAATGCCCCCCTCAGATGGTACCCTCTGAATGCTTCATATTCTCCCATTAAGTTGCAGGTCACATCACAAATCAGGATGAGCGGAGGTAACAAGAACCCTGATTCATCAGAGTTAATTCAGTTTTAGTGAAAAAGTAATTTAAGTTAGTTAGTCCAGACTTTCCTCTTCCTTTTTAAATGTCCTTAGTACCTTGTTTAATGGATGCAACTACATATCTGTGAGGCTTTGATACTGACTTTGTTGGATGCCATTCTTGGCCAAAACCTGCGAACAGATTTGACCAGACTTGCACTGCAGCTGGACAGACTGTTTTGGACTTTCATTACACACCTGAATCACATGCCAATTAGTGTGCAGATGTATCAGCACAGGAAAAAAAACCCTGAAGTGCCGTGTCCAAGACAGCCTGGTTTTTGCAGCAGCCTAGCTAGATTCAATTTGATTTAAAGAACATAGGAATTCCTAAAGCTTCTCATCCCAGGCTGTATGCGTCCCAGCAAATAAAATTGAATGGATCCTTTGATGCAGAATCCGATGCCCTTCCCAGGCCCACCTTCACAGAAGCCAACACGATACGTGTGCTGCTTGCTGACGCCCTAAAGTTCAGTGGACTCCCAGGCTGGTTAGGAGTAGAGGAGGAAGCTTGTCCATCGCTTGCTTTAATGCAAGACTTCTGTGGGCTGGGATTGGAATCCAGCAGTAGAGTCTCTGCTGATCACAACTGTGGCCTCAACTGGCAGTTGTGTTAAATCACAACTGGCCTCTTTCTCCTGTAGTAAACATTTACTAAACGAGAGATGACCCCATGCTGCCATTTGAGGATGGTTCATACACACCCCGACAGTGCGTTTGGCTCCATAGCTGTCCTAGCGAGGAGGCTGTCTCTGTTTTCTGCAGTTTGTATTGACATGAAAGTCGGGGACCGAGTTTTAATTTCCAGTCTTGGCTAATGGGAGCTTCACGCAAAACTTCAGGATGTGTAGATGTAAGAGAGCAGTTCATCTGTCTGGCAGCTCGCTGGTCCAGGATGAACTAGGGTTTTGGTTGCCCCGTGCTAGAGACCTCTTTCCTTGTTTCTAGGCAGGAGGATCTCAGACACTAACCTAGGGCTCTCTTTCATTTTTCCCCAGAGGTCATACGGACACGGCTGCGAGAGGAAGGCACAAAATACAAGACTTTCTTTCAGACGGCCCGTCTGGTAGCACGTGAGGAAGGCTACCTTGCCTTCTACAGAGGACTTTTTGCCCAGCTCATCAGGCAGATACCAAACACAGCCATTGTGTTGTCCACCTATGAGTTAATTGTGTACCTGTTAGAAGACCGGGATGAGTAGCAGGCCAAGAACCATCGTCTAGAAAGTATACACTGACAGACTGTGAAGAGCAATTTTTCATTGAATGAACAGCTATTTAAGAGACTGATGCTGGTGATGGAGAAAAGAAACGAGTTCTTGTTCATCTGCTGGACATTTTCCTTTTGGATTCATGCTTTCTGGAAGGTTTTGACTCATTAACGTTAATAGTTAATTATAACTTTTTTTTAACTTAAAACATGATTCAGAATTTAAACAGCTACTAAATTAAATCTCACTATTTAATTTAATTATATGTTTGTCCTTGTCTTTAAGTACAGCCATGTGTGAATAAGGAATGTACCTATACTATCAAGATGTCTGTTGGACTTATGTTAATTAAAACTGTATTAAAGCAGAAGAACTAATTTGGACTCTGAAACTCAGGCCTCCGACTGCTGGTGTCAAAAAAAAAAAAATATATTTTCTTTTTCAGTAATGTAGTTGCCTGGTGCCCCCAATATCTTTCATTGCATTTCAAAGCTAATGAAAGGTGTAGCGTAGTAATCATCACCACTTGAACTTCCAGAATGAACAAAGTGCAACAGCTGTGTAACGTGCAACTTCAGTGATATAAACTGTTCACTCCAGCATGTCTTGGGAAAGCTGCTGCATTGGAAACATCCCTGTAAAGGTAAAGCAAAGTAGCTATCCTGGAATAAACTTAAAGATATAGTAGAAAGCCACATAATCGATACCTGGAGAAATTATTTCTGCTTCTCTCTGCTATTCTCCTCATTTCCAGTGGCTTGGGGTTTTTGTGTCTTAACTCTTGGATCTGAATGGCTTGGGGAAACTGGTCCCCAAGTCCTGCAAAATCTATCTCCAGAGCCCTACAGCAGTGTCAGAGAAGTAATTCATTTTGAACAATAAATATTTATTAATATGCTCCTGGAGAACAGCAGAGCTGTGATCCGAAACACGTGCACATTTTACCTCCTCATACTTGCTACCTCACTGTGGAATAAGTAAAACGTATATACAGCCAATTAAGGAAATTATCTAAAATTCAGTGGAAAAAGACACATCTGCTACTCCAAGCAACCTATGGGACAGGTCTTTGCCCACATGTCACGTAAGTATGTTCAGGTAATCTATTTTCTGCCCCAAAAGAGCCACGTCAAATGAATCTTCTTCCCTAACACTTGAGTCATCTTTTGTCGCAAGCTAACCCCCGTTGGTTCTGCAGCTCCTGCCACTCGATTTTAAATCGATTATCCTAGCTAAATCAAATGATCAGACCTTTCCTAGCTATTGTAATGTGCTTTTAGTTGAACAGTTTTCTTTACTATTTGTATTGCAATAGCACTCCATGGTTTAGATGCTATGTGTACATATACATGCTGAGTCTTTCTGTGAAGATATTTTGAGACTTAAATTCAGGGGGTTGGAGTTTGCTTTGTTTGGCCATACTATGCTCTCCAACTTGCTAGTGTCATTTGCTTTGACAGCTGGGACAAATGCTGTAGTGTTAGAGAGATCAACTTCAGGCTTTCTGGAGCTCAACTGAACAATAAGCTTCTCATCACTTCAGCAGGTGTTGGATGATTGGGCACAAACGAGTGTTTACAGCCATCTCTCTCTTCACCCAGGAAGCAAACAGCGGACAAACCAGCCAGACCTGAGGGTGTTGCAAATTGACTGGCAAAGTCTATTAGTGAGTAAGGTTATTCACTTCTTAAAAGCAGACAGAGTTAAATGAGAATAAATGTGAAAGTTGCATCTAATTACTGAGCCATACTGTTTCTATATCAAAACGCCAATTTGAAAACTGTCAAATACAACTTCAGGCCCCATAGAAGACAAGTGAAAAGGTGAAGCATTTACATCCGTAGAAGCAGCACCATATAGGGAAAGATCAAAAATAATCACCGGGAAGAAGAAAGTTAACATTCATTTAAAATAAACAGGAAACTGTTAATTGAGGAAAACTGACATAACGTTGTAAAGTAGGCTTTTATGCTCTTTTCTTTTCTTCTGTGAGATTCAACTGTTACTTGCCATGCAATGCTTCTTTGGATTTTGGGAAAAGAATAAGATTTGAAGCAGAAGCAGCAGCAACCAAGCATGCGCCTGATATCTGCTTTCTCTGTTCCTGTTTTTAAATGTGCCCGGTTCACTTGTACAGTTTTGGTGAAATGTCTGTCTGGGCTGCTGATGTCTCTTCATTTTAGAAAAAGAGAACTAAGTAATTTGTGGGAAAAGCCCAAGACTTGAGCAGCTGCCTCTTTTGCAATTAAACATGCAAACGTCACTATATGTGGGTTTTTTAATGCCAACCTTGACAAAATTTAGTCTTAATTTGATTCAGATTGAATAATGAGAGCTGATTGACATTGGGAGAAGACTCCTGGCTCCGCCTCAGGAGCCAGGAGCAGCGGGGAGAGGAGGGATCCAGGCACACGTGTGTCCCGCACGCACGTGTGCCCCCTTACCAGACCTGAGGTGGACGCAGCAGCACCGGAGGCAGCGGCAGCTGATCCCCCTAAGGTAAGCGGGCAGAGGGACCGGACACAGCTGAGCCAGATCCAAAGGGAAAGCCCCCCGGATCCCTCTTAGCTGAGCCGGTAGGAAGCCACGCTCCTGAGCCGCGCCACGTGAACGGAGCGCGCCGGTGTTTGCGTCGGCGTTCGCACCAGCGGGCGAGTAGGAAGGGCCAGGAGGGAGACTCCTACTAGGGCAGGGCGAAGGCACTGCACTAAGCTGAAAACAAGCAGCAACTCCTATGATGGTGTTGACACAGAGTGCTGCCAGGGCCCCTGCCTGGGGGGCGCAGCCTACCTGGGGGTTGTCTGAGGCCTCCACCCAGACAGAGCCTATGGGGGAGCTGGTGTCCCCCCCTCCCCCTGGCCTGCAGGGGTTGCCCAGCAAGGCCCAGGGGGGCAGGGATTGGGGACCCCACACCTGTCCTGCAGGTGCCTGCCTTAGGGCCCTGGAGGCACAGATGAGGGAGCTCCAGGAGGAGGTTAGCAGGCTGAGGGGAATCAGGGAGGTGGAGGAAGAAATTGATGGGTATTTCCTTTCCCTGCAGGGTCACACATCCAAGGAAGAAGTACCTCGGGAAGTGCCCTCCACTGCAGAGTGGCAGATGGTCACCTCCAGAACCAGGGCTGCTCGTAACACAGCAGTACCAGTTCCTCCAGTTCAGCTGGAGAACAGCTACGAGGCCCTGGCAACACTGGAGGAGAAGGAGGGAGAGGAGGCAACTCTACACTCTCCACGCTCCGAACAGGCCGAAGGAGCCAAGCAGTCCCAAAGGAGAAAGTTTCGAGTGATTGTCATAGGCGACTCCATCCTGAGAGGTACAGAGGGCCCCATCTGTCGCCAGGACTCCTCAACATACGAGGTCTACTGCCTACCTGGAGCAAAGATTCACGATGTGACAGGGATGATCCAGGCCGTGATCCAGCCCACCAATTACTACCCCATGGTCCTAACCCATGTGGGTACTAATGATGCGGCCAGGAGAAGCCCTGATCACCTGATGGCGGACTACCACGCTCTGGGGGCGTGCTGAAGGAGATAGGGGCATAGGTGGTTTTCTCTTCTGTCCTACCAGTGAGCTGACGTGGAAGATGGCATGAGACATGCATCGCAGAGACCAACTGGCGGCTTCGGGAACGGTGTCTCGAGGCAGGCTTTGGCTTCCTTGACAA